CCTCCTTTTTCCCACCGACCACCCCCGAGAGACGCAGCACACAGCCCTGGTGACACGCAACACACAGTCCAAGTGAGAGGCCGCACACAGCCCTGGTGACACGCAGCACACAGTCCAAGTGAGAGGCTGCACACAGCCCTGGTGACACGCAGCACACAGTCCAAGTGAGAGGCCGCACACAGCCCTGGTGACACGCAGCACACAGTCCAAGTGAGAGGCTGCACACAGCCCTGGTGACACGCAGCACACAGTCCAAGTGAGAGGCCGCACACAGCCCTGGTGACACGCAGCACACAGCCCAAGTGAGAGGCCACACACAGCCCTGGTGACACGCAGCACACATTCCAAGTGAGAGGCCGCACACAGCCCTGGTGACAAGCCGCAAACAGCCATGGTGAGACCCTGCACATCCTCCTAAGACCCCACATAGCCCTAGTGAGACCGCATACAGCCCTGATGAAACAGCACACAGCCCTGGTGAGCAACACAGAGTATGTAGCTTCATATTATTCTGCATTGCTGTATAATGTATTGCTGTGATTTGTAGTCCTCTCTACAGCTTGGAATCAGTGGCAGAACTACCAAGGGTGCAGCGTTTGCAGCTGGGACAGTGCCCTGGCGCTTCACCACTGTCCTAAAATCATTAGTCTGTATTTTTTTTTAAAAACTGTCTCATGACAATAAAAATATATATATGTATATCGGTAATTGGTATACTTGAGGAAATATATCGGTACTCGTACTCGGTCTGGAAAAAAAAGGTATCGGTGCATCCCTGCTTTTCATGTACTTGCTCCAGGCTGCACATCATTGCTCTGCCCAGCTTCCTGATGGGGACAATGGTGGACCATGCCTGTGCAATGTTTGTCAGCTCGTCATATTTGGGTCAGTGACGTCACCCAGGAAACCCCCGGCTGCTCTGCTTACATTGCCGCAGCACCTGATAACCTGTCATTCAGTGACGGGAGCGCGGCGGGGCGGCATCATCATTGAGGTGGGTCGTCTGACACCTCTCATCGTTTTTGACGTTGGATCTCCATCGCTGGACCACCCTTCCTGAGTATTATAGAATTTGAAGTGCTGCCCTCATAGTCGTCCGGCAGGCCATGTGGGGGCGGCTCGTGGCATTCCAGACAGAAATAAACAGCGACATCTGCACAACGCAGGACTGTTGAAGGATGTGTGTACGCTGATGTTCTGGGCCCTCCATGATATGTGTTCATGGCCTGACATGTGTGAGCAGAAATCACACTGAGCTGTATATCCCCATAATTGTCTATCTTATTACAGCTGCCACCCTGAGAGGGCAGAGGGTGGAGTCCTGAGGTCCAACTCCCCCCCCCTTGATGGACTAATGTCTTTATTCAACCTCAAATACTATGTAACTATGTAACCTGTGGTCCTCAGGTCTCATGTGGTCCTGCGGCACGTACTGTGTGGCTCTCAGGACCCCTGCAGAGAGGGATCTGGGTGGGCTATGTGGGCTCAAAGGTGGCTGTGCGGGTTCTCAGGTGGGCTATGCAGGCTTTCAGGAGTGCTATGCGGGCTGTGCGGTGTCTCACCAGGGGTCTAGAGGTGGACAGGGTGGTATCCGAAAGACAGAAGATTACAGGCGCCCCCCAGCTCACAGGAAGATGCTGCTTCAGGCAGATGCGGCTGCTTGAGGTCCCCCTCTTGCTGAGGACCTTGGCAGTCGCATCTGTCAAAAAATGTAAAGCGGCGGTATTGGCACTTAGTGTCTTGTGTCCGGGTGTCAGCCGGCCTGAAACCTGGACACAGTTCCGAGGCCTCGGTGATCTCCACATTGCAGCTTCTTTCCTAACTTTCTCTCTAATTGCATCAAAACAAACAATCACTGAAGCCAAGATGACTCAGACTTTTCTGCAGAAAATTCCATTCCCACTGCCGGCAGCACCCTCCCTGATTGTACAATCACAAGGATCACACTCATCAGAAGGAAGGTTTTACATCAGTTATTGAAGGGGAGCCAAGAAATATGAGTCACGGTCAGGAATGAGCAGCCGCCAGCAAAAGCAGCAGCACGGCCTTCTACTGACCGGTGTAAACAGAAGAAAGACAAAAAGAATGCGCTCGAGTGTTAAATAGGAATCAGGGTGCAAGTCACATATTAAAGGGTCAGTCCATCCACGAGTAATATTTCAGGATTTGATAGACGCCGGCGAGTTAAACCATCTGACAGTCTCTTGTTTTCAATAAGTTTTTATTAAGATTTTATAAGTATAATAAAGATAATCGGAAGGCTTTCAAAAGTTGATACATAATAAGGATTACATGTAACAAAGATTAAAGATGGATGAGGTAAAAAATAGTTACAGTATCTTAAAATGCCAGATAAAAAAAACTTTATATCATGAAGAGAAATAACATGTAGTTCCCGGTAGACAGAGGTTTAATATTACAGGAGTTGATATCCAGTTCCTGGGTGGTGACAGGACCAGAATAATACAATATACCAGCAAAGAAAACCATGTATCTAGGGCAGTGGTTCTCTCAACCTGTGTAAGCTCAGGACTCACATTTGCCCTTGGTCTTAAGTCCTGACCCAAGTCGCACTGCAATGGAATGCACGGCATTGCGGTACCAATCGTTCTGGTGCAGGCGATCAAACTGTGGGTGGGAGGTGCATTTGAGGTGCCATTCAAATAAAATGCAACACTCATCCCCACACCAGAATGCACAGTAGGTGCGATTGCGTGGTACAGTGTGTTAATTGCATGGGACTGTGTGATTAGCACACTGTACTAGTGTGTACAGGCCCTCACAAACACTGACAGACACACACAACCACAGACACAATCTCACACACACTACAAAAACAATGTTTTTTTTTTTTTAAGCTCCACCCATTCTCCCTTCCTTATGAGAACTGGAGTGGATCCTCAGTCTGGGGTCCAGTGTGGGCTGCTGTTAATGGAGCTCCATCCATATGTGCATTGCTCATACTGCTCCCTTGTGGGCCCTGTAGAGATGCCGGGAGCCAGAATGTGACATCACTACGGTCCAGGCACCTCTACAGGACACGTGAGGGAGCTGTAAGCAATGCATGTATGGATGTAGCTCCCTCGCGGCCATAGCTCTAGCCCATCCCACCTCAAGCTGACACTCTGCACTGAGCAGCATATTTTGAATGGGTGTTTGGTGTGAGAACTGACAGTGCTGCGCTAGGGGGAGGAGCCTCTCTCCTAGAAAAGTGGAAGGCATGCGGTGACCCACTGAATACGGGGGCGCGACCCGCCAGTTGAGAACCAAGGAACTAGGGTACTCCATCGCGAAGTATGTGATTTGGTCACGGTTCAGGAGAAGACAAAACAATAAAAGATCAGTAGTAATGGAAGAAATGAGAATAGTGCAGGAATAGAAGACGGCTAGCTCCACCCAACTGTTTCCTATTGGCCGTCACCTGCTAGAGTCTTCTAGCAGGTGACGGCCAATGAATAACAACTGGGCGGAGCCGACCGTAACGTCACAGCCGGCTCCGCCCAGTTGTTATTGTTTAATGACAGTTCAGAGTCCCCAGGTCATTTGTGATAGAGTTGTGCGCCGTCAAAAAATTCGTTTAGTTTCGTTTCGGAATATCCGTTATTTCGTATTTCGTAATTCGTGTCCGAAACTCAATTCGGATTTGTACGAAATACAAATTTTCGTTAGTTTCGGCACATTTTCGTAACTTTACGAACATTCGTTATGATGAAGTTAAAAAGCAAAATACCTTTGTTAATATTGGAGTGGTAGTTGTTTTTTTTAATCCGAAATACGAATTCCGTTAACGGATTCCAGATCCGAATTTCGTATTTCGGATGAAAAAAAAAAGTACCATACACTCCAATATATTAACAAAGGTATTTTGCTTTTTAACTTCAATATAACGAATGTTAACCGAATTTTACCCCGCTCGGCCGCCTTCGGCGGCTGTACGGGCTATTCTGAATAGCCCGTACAGTAGCCCTTCGGTAGCCAAAGAGGCTGGATCCTTCGGGTCCTTTGTGAACAGCCCCCTAAATTTAAAGGCACTCTTTCCCAGGGGGTGCTACATATTACAGAAAATGTAATGGGAGGAGCCGAGATACAGAAAGGTGGAAACGGGGACTACGGGGATAGAAATATCAGGTGGAAAGGAGCAGAGCCTACTGGAGTATCTAGGACAGGGGTAGGCAACCTTGGCACTCCACCTGTGCCGAAACTACAAATCCCAACATGCATCTGCCTCTGGGAGTTATGTCTGTGGCTGTCAGAGCCTTGCAATGCCTCATGGGACTTGTAGTTCCACAACAGCTGTAGTGTCAAGGTTGCCTACCCCTGATCTAGGACCTATAAGAAGTCAGGGTTGATGCCTCCTATATCTAAAATATCACCTAGGTGGGGGTGTGATTGCTGTATTATGGGGCATGTGTTACCTGTAACAGTTTTCTAAAACGTGAGAGAAAGTTTAAAGGACGAGTATATCTTTACCACAGTTGTCCTTTATTTAAAACCACCGCTCAGATCAGAAATGCAGATGTTCTGTTACTTGTAGTTCTCTGAACATTGGCTCCATTGCCGCCTTGTTCCTGCACAGGACTGAGAGCTATTGACGTCGCCTGGTCTCACCTTCTGATTGTTATAGGAGCTTCTCAGCCAATCCCGGACCAGCCCCCTAATCTACCTCTCCATATAAACTGTGACTCACACTCCTTGCTGGAGAGCTGGGGTGCTTTTGGAGGACATTTTAGCAACTCATGTGTGGATTTACCCAGAATTCAACTGTAAAGCGGGATCCGTGTACCCAGTAGGCAGAGTAGGAAGGTCAAGATGTCTTTGCCTGACTTCCTGCCTACCCAGCGGAGGACTCACGAGGCTGAATGATGCACGCCAGTTTTAAGAGGCAACAATAAGTAGAAGAGGAGGAGAAGAGGAAGAGAGCCCTGGGGATAGACTAGATTATGTCACTCAGTCTGCAGCCATTAAATCTGACACTTGTTATATCTTTTATTTCCCTTCAGATAATCTACAATAATGCCGCCATTTCCTCCATGTTGTGGCCTTATCATCGTGGCTTCCCGCCAGCCAGGTGAGTGTACAACCAACGGCAGGTTACAGTATGAGTGACACTAGCTCTGATTTTTGAAGAAGCCTTTCCCGAGTGACACATGGAGTCTGCAGATGGTGACTTCTCATTCTACATATGTTAGTTAGCTGACTGTCATGCTGATCCTCTGCTTTCAGTATTCAGATAAACATCAGACAAATGGCTCCAGGTGGATCTAAACTGTCACCCCCATCCACCAGACTGTGACATTCAGTATTTTTAGTGGTAAGCAAAGAAGAAAATATATAAAAATAAAGGTTAAACGCCCTTTGGATATCATTTCCAATAAAAGTCAACCATACAGATATCAGTGTGTCACACAGAACTCAATGGTGAGTTTGAGTTCATCTCACATGTATTACATCACACCCTACGTCTACCATCATGGTGGTGCTGTTGGTACCAGAACCATTTACATGAGGGAACATGGCAGTGTCTCCGGTCAGCTGATCCCTGTGTGTCACTCCATGACAGCAGCTCTCCAGGTTAGTGAGGACCATCGCTCTAAGTCAATGTGGCTCTTCTGCAGTGCACATGTGCTGGCAGGGAACATCTGACAGGAGGAGATAGGTGCTGCTGATCCTTCACTGACTCAATGAAAAGGCCGGGGGTCGTAGATTAGTAGATTGCTCTTTATAGCAGCTTGTTAAATTTACAATGTAGATAAGCTAAGTACTGAGTTGTAAACTCCTCATCTCTGTACAGGTAGAATGTGTTTCTTGTATTTGTTTGTTCCCCAGTTTGGTTGAAGAGCACTTTTAAAGGGTACCTGTCTCCTAACTGTTCACCAAATGTATAGCTCAGGTCACCAGATTTAATTCTCCTGTGTGTGTGTGTCCAGTCCCTCTGCAGGGGATCTCGGTGGACGTCCAGGTGAAAGGCTTTGTGGCGGATGTATCGGCCACTCTCAAGTATAAGAACAAGGAGGAGAAGGCGGTGGAAGCGGTCTTTGTCTTCCCCATGGATGAAGACTCCGCCGTCTACAGCTTTGAGGCCACAATAGAGGGGAAGAAAATTATAGCCGACCTGCAGGAGAAGAAGCAGGTAATGAGGATTATGAGACGGACGCATAACAACATATTAAATGTTCACTTCAGACATGATTATACATTCTCAGTCTTTTCACTAAATTGGGATATTATACATTTCAACCTTTAATAAAACCATTGGGACACCTTCTGCCTTTCATGTCAATGCCTGCGTCCTTGTGGAGCCCCCATGGATCCCTGGCCTAGACTTATCTGGAACAGGGCTTAATTTTGACTTAGTAGAGGTCCCATGTACAGCCTTGCACTGGGATCAAACACATTTCACAGAGATTAAGGGATTGTTATGAACACTAACATACACACTTACAGGTACAGGGCGCCTATACCACAGTGTTGATGGGACCATTCATTGTTAATTCTTTCTAATAAATGTAAAGTTTCTTCATCTTGACCAGATGTACCCATCATGACAGCACGCTGCCACTAGTAGCACATTCTAGCATTTTATAAGGAGATAAGCACATTATACGAGCGGGTGGAGCTTATACTGGGTTTAATTATGGGGGTGTGCCTAGGCAGCTTGATGTCTTGATACGGCCTTGGTATCCAGCTTCCAAGCGGTCATTTTGTAATCTGACCGATCTTTATTAACTGATGCACTAAAACTCTCAATATTGAAGAAATGGAGGAATCTTCCCTAATCACCACACCGCGTATATTTACTTACAATACAGGTGTACTTTATTTTATTGCTCTTTTTTAATTGTTTTTTATTTCTCTGTAAAGCTCTGCATGACATTTGTTGTTTTGTAGATGAGATATAGAACGTGTGGTCACCAGTTTGGCTGAATTATCTACTGATCTGCAGATGTCTATCATGTCTTATGATTAATAGTCACAGAGAAGCATCGACTGTTACTTGCTATTTTAGGGGAGGCTAGAAAACTAGACACAAAATGCAGAGATAGATAGAATTTGGTAACACAAGTAGAGCTATAAAGCAGGAGGGTGGAGGAGGTAGATGCTGCACACCATAGACGGATCAGTAGATGTCAATGCTGTTAGATTTTGTGGTGGCACGCTTGGCTTACACACAGAGTATAATGTAAGTATACCATAGGGGTTATGATAGTATTAGTGAATAACTAAAGAGTTTGGTTAGTGCTAGGGTCAGGGGGACAGGAGGAGGTTTATTGTTAATGTTACTGGCTAGGCTAAGGTTTTAGTTAAGTGTTGGGGTGTTGAGCTTATTCTAGGTTGAAGCAGAACCCAAAGTCCACTGGTCCTTCCAACACTGCCATTTAAACAAATGCTGATCTCTGTGAAGCAAATAGCGTAATTGACTGTTCAGACAGAGGCAACCAAGCAGAGCTGTTGTCAGATAGAACAAGACATGAGATGATTTTGGTTGAGTACAGAAAGGCTAGAACCTCTGGCAAGCTTTAATTTCTATCTGTGGTGTCTTCGGGGAGATGCTCTCTCACTTCCTGTGATGGGGTCAGAAGGAACAAGAAGGGAAAGGAAACCTCCCTCTTAAAGGAGACGTCTACAGAATTTAAAACATAATAGAGGTTCTAACCTCTTCCCATTCCCATAAACCAATCCCTGACCTCTTTGCTCTATCCAAAAAAAGGCCACTCCTTCTCGGCATGACAAAGCCGAACCGGTCTGAGTCAAGATCAAAAAGTTGTGCTCCCAATGACCTATTAGTCATAATGGTGTAAAGGTCAGATCACATACACCCCACTGTCTTCCAATGGTCTTAGAAACCTAGTGGACACACAACATAATACTCTGGAGCTATTTGTTTAAGAGATCAGCTAATCTGCATTTCAGCTGACCTCACAGCTTCAGAAACTGAAATGGAATTGTATAGACGTAAGACGTCATATTCACAGCTCTAAACTGATGTAAAACTATGACAGTAACAAGTTTGCTTCTTCTCCCTCTCCTCTCCAGGCTCACAAAACCTATGATGAGGCCATCAGCCGGGGCGAGCAAGCCTTCCTCCTGGAGGAAGATGAGAGCTCGGCAGACATCTTTAGCTGCAGTGTTGGGAATCTCCCTCCCGGCCAGGAAGCTGAGATCACCCTGAAATACGTCCGGGAGTTGCCATTGGAGGCGGACGGAGCTGTGCGTTTTGTGCTGCCGGCCGTCCTCAACCCGAGATACACCCCAAAAGGTGCAAATAGTTTATTTTAGTGTAATTCTTTGATTTGCTCTTCTGAAAGGACCCCTAAACCTAAAATGAACCTGACTTGGATGACAATGTTCCTAAAGCAAAAGTGATAAATTGCCAACACCAAGTACCTTGTGTTCTAACCAGTCTTCAAACCAGTTCCTGTGTTCCTGTGGAGCCTTTCACATTGTAGGCCCATGCTGTACCTGGGGCCTTGACTTCTGTCCAAATTGTAACCCCGGCACTAAACCCAGCCAATGAATGTCAAAAGTCAGAACCCCTGTGTGCTGTAGGGTTGTAGTGGTCAACTCTTTTGATATAGGAGGCCCCAAGTGCAGATCACGATAAAAACAGAATGCAATGATTTGCAAACCTTATAAACCCGAATTTTATTTACAATAGGAAATAAAAAACATATCAAATGTTTAAACTGAGAAAATTTAACATTTTAGGAAAAAAAATAAGGGAATTTTGGAACTGATGGCAGCAACACGTCTGAAAAAAGTTGGGGCAGGGCCATGTTTACCACGGTATCCAATCCCCCCCTTCTTATACTAACACTCCAGTTGTTGGAGTTTTGGGAGAGGAATGTTCTCCCGTTCTTGCCTGATATAGGATTCTAACTGCTCAACAGTCCTTGGTCTTCTTTGTCGTATTTTTCGTTTCAAGATGCGCCAAATATTTTAATTAGCGAAAGGTCTGAACTGCAGACGGAGCAATTAAAGTGACATTAAACCCTCAGATTTTTTAACATAAACCAATACTGCAATGTGCGCCTTACTGTAATCCATGGTTGTTTCCCTTCTCTTTGCTGCTCTTCCTTTTAAATCATCATGTCTTCTCATGCTTGGGGAGAACTTCCCTTTGCAGCTGAGTGCCTCTTCCTGTAGTGTTGGCTCAGGTTGCAACGTACACACAGACACCATGTATCCATTCCAGAGACAAGGCAGTCTGCTGCAAAACAGAAGTTCTGCAGAGCATGAGAACAGATACAGATTTAAAAGGAAGAGCAGCAAAGAGAAGGGAAACAACCATGGATTAGAGTAAGGCGCACATTACAGTATTGTTTTATGTTAAAAAATCTGAGAGTTTAATGTCACTTTAAGCACCCGGACTCTTCTACTACGAAGCTATGCTGTTGGCATAGATGCAGTATGCACTCATCTCCATTTGGACACTGAGATGATTCCTTTCTCTCTCTTTTCTCTCTTCCAGATCAGGATGTGAGCATAACAGCCACACGTCCGCAGGTGCCGGTTGGTGGGATCCCGTACACGCTGAGTCTGATTGCTCACTTCCAATCTGTGTACGGCATCGCCAAGATCGAGTCCAATTGTAAAATCACCCCTGTGGAGTATACAGATAGTGACAAGACCGGCGCCAAGGTGAGCGGGACTCAAAATAGTATCAAGGATTATTTCTTTTGTTGAATATGTAGTTAATAAACCATCAAGTCGATGTATCTTGTGAATGAAAATGGCAATTTATTCATGTTCATCTTTTTAATGAACCTCCATTGTTATAATTTTGCAGTCATCATGTCACCCCACACCCCTATATACTGAAGATGATGGAATACTGCAGCAACAAATCTCAAGTTGCTCTAAAATGTGCTTCCTATTATAATGTTATTTCACCTTTGCAGGTGTCACTGGCAGAGGGGCACAAGTTTGAGCGAGATGTGGAGTTACTGGCTTATTATACAGATGTGAACAAACCCAGCGTCACTGTGGAGGCGGGGCTTGGATCTACAGACGCAGCCCAAGAAAAAGGACCGACGCCATCAGGTGACAAAATAACCCGACATGACATCTACAGCTAGCGCTCTGCATTGCGGTATAATGACCCATCACATGAGAGCTCTCCTGAGGGCCAGTGTCCACATTATAACAAACGCTGCTCCTCTTTATAGCACAGAGAATTAATTGAACTCTCTCTGATGCCGATTCTACTCTACAACACACACAGGGACCATGGGGAACAGACGTAGCCCCCCTCCAGAAGGAAGGACGGTGTCAGCACCAATTCAGAGATGATTGGAGGATCTACAGCCGAGTGATACACAAATAAGATACATTGTTGTTCATAGTTCGGGTTCTTGAATGTATTTTTAGGATTTAAAGCCTGAGTTTAGTGTCACTTTAATGGCAGACATCAATGTGCAAACATTTCAGGATTTCACCGGCATAGGCGAATAGATTTTACATTTGCAATAGACTGCAGGCAGGTAGCAAATCCCTGAGTTGTGTATCATCATCGGTTTTGTTTGGCTGGTGGTAAAACTGGCTGAGCAGGCCAGCCCAGACTTTCTGGTCCTGAAAATTCTAAGTCAGAATAACTCAGCCCTCCTTTTTAGATACTGATGCCTGACACTGACTTCCAAAACTCCTGACACACCCATCCCAGACGGTTCTTTTATTTTTAAAGGAGAACTATGGGGTCAGGGCTTTTCCCCATAGTTCTCCTTAGGGTAACGGGAGGACACAAACTAGCGTCCTCCCGTTACCCTAAGCTCAGTATATAGGGAGCTACAGCTCGCGGTATACTGAGACGCCGCAGCCGGAGCGGATCCCGACGTAGATGACGGGATCCGCCCAGCTGCGTGAGTGACAGCTGGCTCTGCCCATCTAGAGGCAGAGCCAGCTGTACCCGCCCCCTCCCCCATCCGTTCCGCCAGTCAGCGCTGGCAGATCCGAGCGGGGAGGGGGGAATCCAGCCCCTCCCCTGTCACGGCAGAGAGCTGTGAGGATCGAGACGTGAGCGAACGCCGGTATGTGTTCGCTCACCTCCCGATCTACTGAGCCGACCTGTGACAGTCTCATTGTCACAGGTCGGCAAGAACTATGATGGGAGTGGAAATCACTCATCTCATAATTCTCCTTTAAAGGAGCAGACACTTGACTTCAAAATGCTCCAAAACCGTCTTATGTCTCAGCCATGAGGAATAAGCTCAGCATCCCTGATGGGGAACTCTATTCCTGCTGTTCGCACCTGAAACGTTAAGTCATTAATTATTGGAGATGTGAAGGTTATTGGCTGGTAGACCTCAAGCATTGTCTGGATATGTTATGTGTTCTCCTCTCTATCAATGCCCCTTCCAACTGTCTTGTCATTCTCTTCCTCTCCTGTCTATGCCCCCATTACTCTTCCATTATTCTCTTCTTCCTTGATCCTAGATGTTCTTTTTTTCCGTACTTCGATCTTGGATGGCACAGTTATATAGCAAGAAGTAGACAAAACAAACTACTGTATAGTTCTTCCTTTAAACACTATAAAATAACAACATGACTATGCAACAGTAAATACACTCACACCTAAAATGACTCTTTTGATGAATGGGCACAAATTTGCTGGTAAGAATAATAATAATAATAATAATAGTCTGGGACAATAGTGGAAGCCATTAAATTGTTCAGCAGCCTCTGTAAAAGCTTTGTTGAACATACTGGAGTGGACTGAATGTGTTCTCTGTGTTTGTTACAATCTTATTTTCTCCCTGTGTTCTGTAGGGTCCATTATGGTGGAGTCAGTGGCCATGTTGAACTTCTACCCGAGTTTCCCAGCTGGACAGGAGCAGACCAGTTGCGGCGAGTTTATTTTCCTTGTGGACCGGTCTGGCAGTATGGAGTCTCCAATGAATTCTGAGCCCAACGCCCCGCAGAGGATTCAGAGTGCCAAGGTCGGTAAATTGCCCCAATTGACCATCTAAGACTTACGTGATTGGAAATGTGTCTCGGGATCCTTGTTGTAAATTGAAATAATTCATGAAAACAAAGTCACCTATCATCTGGTAGAACACGGGCTAGAAGGACCTTCCTGATTATCAACAAAGGGGACCTTATGTGAAGCTAAGGTGATATTCAGAGACATGAGTTAACCCTGAGCTAAATTTATCACAGTAGAAAGAAACCTGTTTGTAGTTGAAGGGTCCAGTCATAGTTTCTTCCTAATTCCCCCGGTGCTTGATTAGATGATTCAAGTGCACATGGATTCCCGTCATGTCAGTTTTTAATATATTAAATATGACTCTGATCAGAGCAGGCAGGAAGGGAGAAGGCAATCCCCCAGCTCATTAAGCTGTGAGTGTAAATTTAAGCTTGAGCTATTGACCACTATAAACAGGATTTTCTTCAGCCAAGCAGATAAGGAGAGCTTGTCTCTGTCAATGTGGCAATTATTATGAATAGCTGGGCCAAATCCCCACCCTTGTGGCATTTAACTCCACCTCTTTGGCCAACGAAAGTATATTCAATATTAGGGATGCACTGATACCAAGTACCGTACTCGGTACAAGTACAGATACTTTTCCAGCTCCAAGACTACACTAGAGAAAAATTCAAAAGTTAGGAGGCCGCTGTCATTTGTAAGGAGCACCCGGGATTTGTACATCTCTGTTATAATGTACGATTTTGTTTTTATAAACATATATAAAGTGATGCACAGATACCAGTTTTGCGAGTACGAGTACTGGTACTTGCCGAGTACTTACAAGTACGAGTACTGATACATTTTTGTTCATTGTCATGTGACAGTTTTTCTAAAACAATACAGACTAATGATTTCAGGACAGTGGTGGAGCGCCAGAGCCAGGTCCCAGCTGCAACCCATGCAACCCCGGTAGTTCTCATGAAAATGCCAAGTATCGGCACCGGTACTCGAAAAGTATCTGTGCATCCCTATTCAATATGTACCATAACTCTTTTCATTCTAGCCTTTCACCGGGTCTTAGCTTTCCAGTCACCTCATTCATTGTCTTTCCTCTGCAGGAGACGCTGGTTGTTCTATTGAAGAGTTTACCTCTCGGGTGTTACTTCAATATCTATGGCTTTGGGTCCAAATTTGAGGCTTTCTTCCCGTGAGTATAAAGGTTGGGCAGTGCCACGCAGCATCTGGAAATATGAGACATATTTGGTGGAGTTGCCCCCCCACTTCAGAAATTTTGGGTAGTATTTGTAGTCTACCACAGAGTGACAGGCACTGTAATTCAAGACTCTAAAGTGGCTCTTCTTTGTGTGATTGCCGTTCCTATTAAAGGAGAACTATGAGGCGAGTGCTTTTCACTCTCCTCATAGTTCTAGCCGACCTGTGACAATGAGACTGTCACAGGTCGGCTCAGTAGATCGGGAGGTGAGCGAACACATACCGGCGTCGCTCACAGCTTGCGGTATACTGAGCTTAGGGTGACCGGAGGACGCTAGTTTGTGTCCTCCCGTTACCCTAAAGGAGAACTATGGGGAAAAGCCCTGACCCCATAGTTCTCCTTAAAGCATACTAAGAGAGACATCCTCCGACACTTTCTCACTGCTGCACGCGCAGTTACACCTCATTGTCGGTGCTCCTCTGTGGTACCTACATTAGCAGAATGGGTCATGGAAATTGAGCGTTTTGTAGACCTTGCATGTTTATTGGCTGCGGAATATGATAGTTGGGATAGAGTTTGGAAAATATGGGCTTCTTGGCTGAGATTTAGGGATTACCTGGATCTCAGGGAACTGATATCTATTCTTGCTTTTGTAAGAACCATATAATGTAGCGTGGACTGCATAGTTCATGACAATGTGACGGATCTTCATTACAAATGTGGGTGCACATACAATATGTGTTATTAGGGCGATATATAAGTCTAACAGTTGTCACCACAACAGGTGTCCCCATTAGAAGACTCGCACTCACCTCTTGACCTGAAACTCTAAAACTAAAGATTTCCCATCAATTTCTGTCTTGGTAAAGGTTGTCGCTAGAACAAATAGAGGGTGAACCACCCCAGCATGGACTATGGGAGCAATACTAATCTGATAGGGGTTCTAACCCTTCCCCCACTCTATTCCAACTAAAAAAAAAAAAAGTTTTACCCTTACACACTCTTTAAGGCCTATGTCCATGTTGGGCAGCCATGTGTAGACATGCGTGTGTAAATAGAAAGGATGGCACCAATATACCAGTCAACTAGGGCTGCAACAACTAATTGACATCATTGATTATAGTTGATTATTGAAAAAGTTGTCAACTTTTTCAATCATCGATTAATCATCTTCCGATTGGTTGGCCCTGTTCACGGCTCCACACGCGTTGCACGCCACACCTCCTCCCCACCTTACGCTCGCCGCTGCCAGACCCGCCCCCATCCACACGCCGCACCTCCTCCCTGCCTCAGGCTCACCGCCGGCCCAAATCCACGATCGGCACAAGGATGCGGTGAGAAGAAGTAAGGAGGAGCAGGTGGGGGGGTGACAGCCGCCGATAGACAGGCCCGATCTCAGAAACAAGTTGCTGGAAGACTGCTCAGGTAAGCCTGCACTTCGACCCCCCCGCCCAGCACATGGTGCTCTACTATGTATTGCTGGAATTTGTATTCCTCTATAGCTGATGGTACATTGTGCTGTATATCATACATAGGAATAGAAATCCCAGCAATACATTGTACACTGTATGTATAATGTACTATTGCTGGGATTTGTTGCATTCCTCTATAGCTGGTGGTGAAGAAGCATGAAGAAGCAGCGTTATCGCTCTAGGACAGGATTACAGCACACCCGCGCTTTTCTCTTCTGCATATAGAGGGGAGGTGTTCTGTAGTCACAAAGGCAGAGAGCACAGGAAGATATCAGCTGACATGATTTCTGGCAGGATCAACAGGTATTTTTTGCATTTGTCCAACAGATATAACACTTTCAATGGTATATTTAGCAGACCAAAAGGGAGCAAATATAAGAAGTCCATTGTTGGGTTTACGTATCTTTTATTGCAAGGTCTTTAGGAAGTATGGCATGATCACTTCTCCGATTCCAGTCATTATTTCTCTACAGATGGTTAGTTGGATGATGGATGTTCATGCCACAGCCTGATTTACATCTAAAAATTGTGGTTTGGACATATTTGTCAGACCTCTCAGTCCATCTGTAGAGCTGCCTGGAGGTCCCAATCACCATGAAACCTGCACCGTGTCAGTTGATATCCCCTGCAGTGACCGTATAACATGAACTTATTGAACAATGTTCCCCAGGGAGAGTGTGGAGTACACACAGAAGTCCATGGAGGAGTCGGTGAAGAAGGTGAATGAGATGGATGCCAACTTTGGAGGAACAGAAATTCTCCAACCTCTAAAGAAGATCTACCAAACAGCCGGGAGAGCCGAGCACCCCCGACAGGTAAGTGAGGCTGCAAAACATTGGGGAGACTAGATACCATTGAGTGTGGAGGAGGGGAGTTCCAAGTACTCGGGTTATGGGGTCACAGAGCCTACTGATATCTAATGTTTGAGTTTTGCCTGAAGACGTCTTATAATATAACTTTAGTATAAATTTATATAGTAAGACAAGATAGTGAAATGATAAAGTTCAGTGTTGATGACCTGCGTTGCTCCATTGATCTCCTCATCTCTGTCCTCTCTTCAGCTTTTTGTCTTCACAGATGGAGAAGTCGGGAACACAAAGCAAGTGATCGATGAAGTTCAGAAAAATGCTCAGAAACACCGGTAATTATAAACATCCCATCCCATTCCATCCCTACTACCATGACATGCGCATTGCAATCTTTGGTCCATGTCTGACCTTGGAACCATACTTTGTTCTGTGTCTCCATGCCTGAAATGCATACCAGAGCTGCATTAGCCACTCAGCATTGCTACCAGGGTCTGCCATAGGAGGTTACATTTGACATTTTTAGACCCGAACATACATACTTGGGTTCATTTTGGCAATAGCCAAAAACAAAGACATTAGTCTTTGAATTGTGAGGAGAAACTGCAGTACCCAAAAGATGATAACCCATCCAAGCGCTGGGACAACGTGCAAACTCCATGTCGGTGTCCTGGCTGAGATTCATTCCATCCTTCTGTGTAAATTAAAATGTGACTACTACCCCCTTCCTATATCCCACATCTGTGTGTAGTAACACGGAGTCCATCTGACCTCCACCACCTGCATCTGAATACAGCCACCTGCTGATAAGATTATTAAATACTTCAAAGTTGATGTTTCATATATTATTGTAGCGCTACCCCCGTAGGAGCCGCTGGTTGCCCGGTTCGCCTCTAGTCTGTCTAGGGTATGCCCTTCAGCTGCCCACCCATTAGCATTAACCGCCCACTTCCGGTGCCCATAAACTGATGTCCACTCCGGTAGGAAAATGCTAAGTAAACGATTTATTGAACATCTTCACTGGGGAGAGAGGGTATGGGGGTTCTAGGTGTCCAGGGGGTAGCCAACAGAAGCTCCAGACTCACCAGACTTTGTAGATGTATCAGTGTAGATCCACCTGAGAGACAGCGACTGATGCAACAGATAGGCAGGATGGATGCAGATCCTCAATCAGGAAAGACACCGACCATGCTCCTGAAGTCCACTTAGTTCCAGGGTACTTCAAGAGTCAGCATTGGTCCCGGTTCTCTTCCTCTTTCAGCATCACAGGCCTCCTCCATGTTGGAGGCCTCAGGGAAACCTTCCCTCACACCAGCCCATGCCCACTCCCAGGCCTCGGCCTAGCCTGGGGGGCAGGCTGAACAGGACCCAGCCCTAATCCATGGCTGGTCCCGGCTAGTCTGAGCACATGGCAGATCCCTCCAGTATATGTACCCTATCCCAGCAGGCACCACTGGCTGAGAGAAGCCCAGTGATTGGCTGCTGTACTGTACATACATTAGAGTATCTCCCATTGGCTCTCTCACAATATGACAGAGGCACACTCCGCCCAGGGGGGTACAGGCAATTTCAGACACCGGTAATTAACCATATAATTGCTATTACAAATCCAGCCAGGCCGACTACAGCCCCGGCTACCACTAAATGTCTAGTAGTCACATCACAGAAGTTGTTGGGCGCTACATTATTATTTACTGTCAATAGAAAGTCTTTGTTATACAAGTAAACATCTAATACGGCCATGACGCAGGTTTCAGAGTATTATGATTTTGTTATACCAAGAAAATGGCAGAAACTGCTTGTCTTCAGACTGTCTGATTTGAAACTAAATCTGAACTAATCTGTAAACAGCAGGAGGCAGATTAATTAACGATTTACTTAGCAGCATATGCAGTAAGTGTGTATAATACTAGCTAGCTTTCAATTCCACCGGCCAGTGTCAGCCAGGGTTCAAATGGACAATAAGCTTTCAATCAGAGTAGCTTTCCACCATGTGATCACCATTTCAGTTCTGACATAGGTATCATTTGCAGGCTTGATGACATTCCCCTCCGAATTATATATGTGAAACTATTTTTATAATTAAAGAGACTCGGTTTTCAATAAATTCAAATTCCAACCCTGACCCCAGATATTTACACTACGACGAGCTGCCTCTCTGGAGGCAGAAAGGGGCAGGCAAGATTTAGGGCCATCAGAATGGGTTCTAGGTTTGGGCCTTCCAGAATGGCTTTCAGCTCTTTTCTTCCCGCACAGCCAATAGAAGGGAGTTTTTAAAACCTCTTCCCCCCTTTTCAGATGTTTTGCGTTTGGGATCGGTGAAGGAGCCTCCACATCCCTCATTAAAGGCATGGCCCGGGCAGGAAATGGAACCTTCGAGTTTATCACCGGCAAAGACCGCATGCAACCCAAGGTAAGGGTAAAATGGAGGGCTTCATGAACAAAAAATTAGAATGATCTTCCAGATGGGGACACAGACAACTGGAAAACTTGGCAGACATTATAACCCTGGACTCATAGGAAGTGGGTTGAATGTTGCTGGCCATCAGATTAAGGAGGAC